AAAGTGTCTTACAATTCATTAATTTATCATAAGTTCAAAAGGGATCATTGAAATTTTCTGATCTACTCGTTTTTTTGCATGTTTTATTGTACATGTATTGAGAAGATGAGAAGCTTTCCTATTCTAATATCACATGACTAGAGCACCTAAATGATTATAATTTCCACAACTTCAGCCCAAGCTCATTTCTTTTGATTGTTTTGTTAATAAATGAAGGGAATGGGATCACTCGCATGGAGTTTGTACAAAACTATTTTACATGGATTTTAGCTTTTCCAGAGCATTTTGGTTCTGCCCATTGATGTTTTATTTGCACTTGAACTGTAATAAACTTCTCCGAAAAGAGAGAGAATTCCAAAGACAGACTCTTACAGTATCTAACTTGTCTCTGCAGTTGTGCATGTCATAGTTTACCCAATAAAATTACTAATTATGATGGATTTGGGAAAGGGAGGATAGAAATAGGAAAATTTTTTAGGACAGGCTATTTAATGAAAGGGAAATTAAATTACCTGATGTATCTACACTGTGGGAGCTTTGATTTTGTTGCAAAGGCAAAAGAACTGCTGGTGATGCAATCAACTCTTCTTGCACACCGTGAGGTTTTACGAATCCTTCCAACAAGAAGCCAACATATTGGGGAGGTACTTCCATACTTTCTCTGCTTATGTATGTCTTCATTACTGACCTTTCTGTAACAAGTGCTCGTAAGTCCTGCATTGCCATTTTCTCAAATACTTGAGGAAGCAAAAGTTTAGCAAGAACAATGGCACTTTCCTGCGGGAAAAGATAGAATTGAACAAACTGGATAAATATAAAATTATGTTTGTTATCAATTTCACTGTAACCCAACTTCAGAAAGTTGCTTAATAACATGAAACTATCTTACACAAGTTGCATCTTAAATAAAGAACTAGGGACCACAGAGATAAAAATGTACCAGAATAGCATAAAGTAATGTAATTAAGAATTTTTTTTTGGTATCTAGCATCTTTAGGTACATGACCATAAAGTTGGTTGGATAAAGGCTTAATTCAGTTGAGTTCAGTAGATAGTGCATAGATTGCAACTATGATCCAAGACACCATATATTCTGAGATGTTAATCAAAGTTCAATTATCCAGCTATTAGCATGCCCATACCTGCCACAGGAAATCTTCTACTTCAGGATGTGATCTTAGAAACCGTATTTTGTCACTTTCAAGGAAAAAGCAGAGAACCATAGAATCCGTTATCATGTCACAGATGTAGTGTTGTTTTCCAGTTAGCACTTCATAAAGGCCCAAAGTACTTCCATGAGTAAAGGTTGGGTGGAGGGAGTGCTTGTTCTTTATGCTCTTACTTGTCCACTGCCAATAAGTAACTCAAATCTATAATATTTTCCAAGAAAAATGAAAGTCAAATATTCAAATAGGTGTCTTTTCTCTATTTTACCTTAACAATCCCATTAGCAATAAGCCAGATACCATTTGGGTTGGAGTCTTCCTTGTAAAGAGTCACACCACGAGTTTTCGTTATTTCTTTTTGGGAACCTTCAAGTTGTTCACACAGAGCAGGGGGAAGGGCCCCCAGGAAAGGATGAACAGCTTTTGGAATCTTTACTAAAGGAGGATTCCTTAAAAGCTTTTTTAAGTCAGTCTGCAGAATGAAATCAGTTTAGTGCATATCACCAGAGTTATGAAGCAGAGAGTGAAGGACACCAATTGTGCAAGTGATGAAGAACCACCAGAAAATACCTGGACAGCATCATGAAGATGAAGCATCTCCTTCTCTTCCAATAATCCAACTTTTTCAAGGTTTTGAACATAGTCAAGCAGATGGTTCAGCACTGAATATGCTACTTGTCTTGTCTTAACAACATGCAAAACCTGAAATATTTCCAACATATGACTCAGCCTGAAATATTTCCAACATATGACTCAGCCTTTTAATATCAATACATTCTTACAGAGCAAATAAAGAAATGGAAAGAATAGTTGACAACTGCATTATACAACAGCTTTGATGGATTGAGTTGGCAATTGAACTAAACATTCTGCATTCGGCCAAGAAAAATTTAAGCCAAACTTCAGCGTATTGGTACATGGTTACTTTGGTATATAACTCACAAACCTGAGGAAATGTTAGACGAACATCTTCCAAGAACTTTCTTGCCTCTCCTCCTTCTGCCACACTTTCATTAATGACCATACAAGCAATGTTACTGTCACCTAACAAAGAAGTGGATGTATAAGGAACGTATACAATTTCCCCAACGACAGGGCAACTACAAAGACAATGGCATAGAATATGAAATTCAACAAAGAAAGAAACATGATATGCAATTTTTCCAGAGGTAACACAATATCTTCCCCAATTTTTCTATTCAATGACAGCAAATATTACCTCAAATAAGGAGGAATAATAGGAGAGAATTCCTCCTGCTAGTTATTAAAAAAGGCTTTGGCATTTAGAAAAGAAAAGGGCAATAAATGGAAAATATGTGATCAAAGGAAAAAATGGGAAACTGGAAAAGAAGCATAGGCTAAGCCAAGAACAAAAATTAGTACCTAAAAAGTCATGAAGTTGCCTTTGTGCAATTCTATGGGCACGAAGAAATGCAGCACAAATGTAACAGGCAGATTCCAGTCTTTCCACAGTGAAATATGTAACCAATTTTTGTGGGAACATTCTTGTTTGAAGGAACCTGTAATAATTTGGGAAGTTGACAATAGCTTTTAAACCTTTCCAATCGCATAAAGGCTCACGAGAAGCTACATCAATTGCTTCATCCACTGATTGCATCAAAATATTTGCAGTAGTCTGTGTAATTCTCCCTTCATCTAGCATCCCCCAGTAAGCTGCTTGGACACCTGTTACAAGGATTTTTTTTAGCAAAGAAAACACTTCTAGAGAAGCAGATCTACCTCCCACTTGAATAAATTTTATTTAAAAAAATAAAATAAGATACCCAGCATCGTTATTTATATACCAGTTGTTGGCCCCATCGAAGACAACTTGTCATTCTTTGGATAATGCACCAATCTCTACTCTAAGAAATTCAATGCAATGAAATTATCATAACCAAAAAAAAAAAAAAAATTATCGTCAAAGGCTGATCACTATTATATTTTTGCTGCTTTTCCATTATCCAACAATCTGTTGTCAAGTGAAATACCATTCATAGTTAAAATGTTTTATCAATGAGCCACCAGGCTCACCATACATGCACATAGGAAGTGAACAAGATCCTTCATGAAAACTCATCAAAAACGGTTTCGAGAAGACTTCACTTCTAGCTAGTTCATTCAACTTGACTGTTATCAGGTGATTTTGAGCCTGTGATGTGGAGGATAATATTGTCTTCCCACATGCCTCCTTAATAAGGAGATCATGACACTAAAAAAGTGCCATAAATTTCCTTCTCCAGTCTCCATCTTTTCTCTCTTATGATCTACCCATCCCTGGATGGTGCAAGTGTGAACAAACACACAATTTGTGGCAAGTTCCTAATAACATCTAAGCTAACTCAGACCCAAGGAGTTTCAATGACTTTTAAAAAAGCTGTATAAGCAAGAGAATCCCACCCCCCAAGCTTCCTCCTCCTTTATCTTAAACACCCAGTCTAGACAATCTTGCTCCTAACCTAAGGAACCAAAAGTCAATTAAAAGGGATTTAGCCTAAAACATCACAATAACCACCTGATACACAACCTGCTAAGGGAAACTGTAGAAATGGTTTCTCAAAAATGATATTTTGTTTTATATCTTAAATATATACTTTAGTTTTCTTATGCTTTTTAAAAAAGAAATGGACAAAATAAGTAAGGACTTTTAGCTAATAAATTGTCTCGACAAACTCCAACAACTTTGGTCTTGCAACCAATATTTTGAATTTACACAAATATA